AGGAGGGTGGGGAAAGAGGCAGAGAGGAAGGGAGGAAGGGTGGGGGTGAGAGGGAGGGGGGGAGGGGGAGGGGGAGGGGGAGGGAGAGGTAGAGGGAGGGAGGGGAAGAAGGAGAGAGAGAGAGAGAGAGAGAGAGAGAATGAGTGAAAGAGAGAGAAATAGAAACAGAGAGAGGGAGAAAGAGAGAGAGAGAGAGAATGGTAGATAGATAGATAAAGAGATACAGACCAACAGAAAAATATAGATGGGACACCTAAACCACTAGAAATCGTGGATACCCAAAATAATCTCTCTGAACATTTAAAATGCAATGATTACTGATTCATCCGGCCTTTGTCCGCTTACCCATGGTGAACGGAGAGCGTTATAAATTGTATATGTATATTTCAGTAGCAAATATTGAATATTATGGGAAGCAGCCTCAGTAAAAGGACTGGGGGCTGGGTGAGGTAATGTTTAACAAAGTACTTCTGTTATTAACTCATTTGGGGCAAAATGCGACAACAAAGGAACTCTTTTTCACAAATAAAGGCAGCGGTATATCATTAACAGGACCAGATATAAATACATTTTTTTCCCCCTTGTGCAATCAACAAATCTAATTGTTTCCTTTTGTTAAAATACTAACGTTAATTCTCCATTCCTTGTTAAACATTGGTTGATTCCCCTCGTCATGTCGAGAGAGAGAGAGAGAGAGAGAGAGAGAGAGAGAGAGAGAGAGAGAGAGAGAGAGAGAGAGAGAGAGAGAGAGAGAGAGAGAGGGGTAGGGGGAGATACTTAACGCTCAAGGCAGAGAAAGAGACAACGTTGAAATACCAGATTAAATCCTATCCTATCACTTCACAACTTTATTTGTCTTCATAGATGAAAAAAAACAGGTGGAACAAAACGTAAACTGACAGTGAAAACGCTAAAAAATAACGGAAAAGGCCATTAGCTCTGGATCTAAAAGCATTCAAGTTTCAAACTCTATTCTACGCATTCCATTCAGTCGTAAAAGGTGCGATCGGAAAAAATAATGTAAGCACGGGCACATTGCTGTACACTCTAAACAAATAGGAAAAATAGCGTGTTAGGAGAAAGGAAAAACAACAGAAATAATAATACTTAGAGTAGCAACAACAGCAAACGCTAATGCTCACGCGCGCGCTGGCAATATGAGTTTGCATGAATTCACACACACACACTCACATGCGCGCAATATACATATGGATTTTCACGGATTTACTAAAGTTGGGGAAATCAAACCTAAATACGGTAGTGGGCGAGTCTATCGTAGATATGATGGTGGGTTGAGAACCACCAACAATGATTACCTAAACAGATACTCCCCTGGGGAAGGATCACTGGTCAGTCACCCTAGTATAAATATCCAGCTAGCTACATGATGTCAACGTGACACCAAGTAGTTTGTCAAGATCCGCATCGGTGATGGCACAAAAAAGCTAACAGTAATAATAATGATAATGATATTAATGATAAAAGTAACATTGTTAATGATAATAATAACAGTGATAATGATGACGATGATGATTATAGTAAAAATAAAATAATAATAATAATAATAAAAATAACACTAATAATAATTACCATACTGATACTAACAATAGTAATAAGAATAATGATAATAATAATAATAATAATAATAATAATAATAATAATAACAATAATAATAATAATAATAGTGACAATAAAATAATAATAATAACAACAACAACAACAACAACAACAACAACAACACCAATAATAATAATAATAACAATAGTAGTAGGAAAAACAATAACAACAAAACAACAACAACAACAATAAGTAAAACTAGTGGGAGAGTAAATAATAATAATAATAATAAAAATGATAATGATTCCACGTATTCCCCCCCAAACATCCCAAGGAGCCTAAATCGACCATTTCCTTCGGAGTCTCAAGTTACTTCTCATCAGGCGCGAGGAGGAGGAGGAGGAGGAGGAGGAGGAGGAGGAGGAGGAGGAGGAGGAGGAGGAGGAGGAGGAGGAGGAGGAGGAGGAGGAGGAGGAGGAGGAGGAGTAACTGTTACTCGGTCTTCAGCCTCGGGGAAACAGGCTCTGAGGCGCTACAGAGCAATGGCTCCCTCGAGAGGCGATAACCAATGCGCTTTTATTCGCTCTCACGGCCGCCGCGAGAACACGACTCGGCGCCGAAGAACATCTTTACGGTTTATATTCCTGATATGTTTTTCGTTATGGCACCTTGCGATGGCTTTGTTCCCGCGGGATTTTGAGCTTTGGGACCTCCCGGCAGAAGGTTGGGTATCCTTTGTGGAGAGAAAGAGAGAGAGAGAGAGAGAACTTCCCTTCGCTTGCACGTTGATTAAGGGAAACGCGGTTCGGTTGGATTCATTAATTCCCGGTCACGCATCAGCATCCCGTCCGCTCGGGTATGTCCGAACGCGCTGATCGACGCAGGTAGATAGATCGACGACGTAGTCAAAGAGTTTTCGAATGAAATGCAAATAAAAAGGAACATCTGCATTGCGTCTGTGGATGAAAATTGATAAGCAAGAACATGGAAATAAAAGCGTTCAACCGACCGACATCTCTTGCGCAACCCGTATATTGGGAAACGTCGACTCGCCCCGACCCGCTCGAACGGATCGGGTCTTTCCCAGCCCAACGCTTCCCGGCCTCCTCCACGACTCGCTTTGCGCCGCGTCCATTCAGCGGATTATCAATTAGTCCCCTCGTCGAGCATCAGCTGAGAAGGCAGAGTGGCACTTAGGGGGAGTGAGGGCCAGAGGGTGCCATAGGAGTCGATCCGTCTGCTTGCTCTGCCTCGATCCGCTTCTTGGACTCTGGAACACTCGCGCCCTGAGCCTGCAACTTTCCTTTACTTACTTCTTGCTAAATCTCCTCATTTAAGACAATGTTTTGGAGCGCCAATCCCAGGCTACTTCATACCAAACGCCTCGGAAACAGTCGTCATTCCCAAACTCCATTTTCTCCTTAAAACCTTAAAAATCATAAAACTTCCTCCCAATCATCGGGCTGAAACTTTCCCCCGGGGGTGAGAAAATGGCTCGCTATAAAATCTGCATAAAACACTCGAGACTTCGCTATAAAACCCACAAGGAGACGTATTGATCCAGGGCGGGAATCAATGCCCCTTGGCACCTTCCCTGCCTGGCACTGTGTCGCCGCGCCCCTTTTCTCGACGTCGCACCGAAGACGCCGACCCTACGTGCCACCTTAGCCCCCCCCCCCCACCCCCGCCTCCTTCTCCCTTCCTCCTCCTTCTATCTGTCTCCTCCTTCTATCTGCCTCCTCCTTCCATCTCCTGTCAATACCATAGACCGCCCCATCCACCCCAGCTCTTACCAGTGCCATAGAGACCTTGCCTCCATATCCCCCACCCTTGCAAGTGTCACAGTACCCTCTCCCTCCCCCTTTCTCGCCAGTGCCACGGACACCCCCCCCCCCTAACTTGTCAACGGCACAGCACCATTTTGAGATCCGAAATATTGATTCGTGATGCATGTGGCGGGTGAAGAGTCTACTCAGAAGACACAATGGAATGGTAATCTCCCTCATCTTCTTCATTTTCCTCATCTTTCTCATTTTCCATCTCATATGTTTGCTTCTTTGGGCGTGTGATAAACTTTTTTTTCCCCCGTCACTTTTTTTTCCTTTCATTTCCTTCACTTGATTCTGGTATTTGGCTCCTTGTTTCTTCCTGTTTACCATATTCATCGATATAAGTCTTTAAAATGATAATTCTTCATCCTTTTTTTTATAAATATTCTGCACTTCTTTGTAACTTATTCAAAGTTATATTTTAGCCCTAGAAACAAGCTATTAGATCAGAATTCTGCATGTCATGTAACTCCGCTCAATAATGTCCTTGGCGATATTAACCTTCCAGCTTTCAGTGCTCTTGTTTGATGTCATTCACTGACTATAACTGATGATCTGATTATATTACCACAGTTCATTAGGTGTTCGACGTTCTTTCATCTCCTTTCGTCCTTTCTATCGCCCTAATTTCTCTGTGCACCTTTTTACCTTCCAGCCCTCCCTCCTTTTATCCTTCCTATCTCCCCGAATTCCCTTCCTCTCTATCTTCCTCTGCCTTTCTCTCATTTTCTCTTTCGTCTTAACTCTAGGTCTCCGTCTCCCTATCATACTTTCCTTCCTCCCCTCCTTTCTTCCCTGCTTCCCTTCTAATCTATCCTCTCTCCCTCCCTCCTTTCCCCTCTAATCTCCTCCGCCCTCTCCTCCTCCTTCACTCCCCCCACCCCCACCCCCTCCCTCTTAACCCCTCTCAAACCCCCCAATTTTATGTATCGTTGAATGCGCTCGTCAGAGACAACACAGGAAGGGAGGACTGAAGATGTATTTAAGCTGGCCATAAATCCCAGAGGGAATTGCATATCGGAAGCACGAAAGAAGCGGCCTCTTCGATACACTCGCTGCTACCGTACTGGCGACACTAAATGAGTATCGGTGAAGATATAAGCTACGGTCTACTCTCAGTATATGGCGTGGTGTTACTGGAGGGTTTGGGGATGGAATGGAAATGCTGAATTATCCGCACTCATTCGATATTCATATTTGTTTTGGTTATGTGTTTTATTCCTTTTCTAAGCAGTGAAAAATGCGTGCACTAAAAAAACACGCATCTCTCTCTCTCTCTCTCTCTCTCTCTCTCTCTCTCTCTCTCTCTCTCTCTCTCTCTCTCTCTCTCTCTCTCTCTCTCTCTCTCTCTCTCTCTCTCTTTCGTGTGCTGTGTGGTGCAGCGGTAGCGATCTCGTCTAGCAATCTTGCTGACCTGCATTCAAATCCCTCGCCACCAGTGGATGGTAACCCCGGCCATTCCTTGCACACAGGGGATAATTTAGAAGCAAAATAAAACAGACACTATGTCACACCAAGAATATCCATTGTAACATATGGAATCAAATTAAACCTAAATTAAACCTCTCTCTCTCTCTCTCTCTCTCTCTCTCTCTCTCATTACGATAGACGTACCTCCCATGGCGCGCTTCTCATTCCTCTTGCGGCGGTAGCAGACGACGGCGACGAAGACGGAGAGCGCCAGGAAGCCCGCGGCGCCGACGGCCCCGATAAACCAGGTCTCCCGAAGGACCGCCATCAGAGGGGACGGCACCCGCTTCGGTTCCCCGGATCCCGAGCTCGCCGACGGGTCCTGCAGCCACGTGTGGCCTCCGCTTGTCGGCCCTTGACCTGCCCTGGGATTTGAGGATTGGGGGAAGGGAGGAGGTTGTGTGAGATTTAAAAAAAAGCAGGTCACGATTATTTTAAAATAAAATAAAATCCACATGAATATCACACACAAAGATCTTTAACAGCAACAGCACCCCCACAACAACAACAGCCCACCCACGTACTTCGTATGCGCCGCCACCGTCGCCGTGAAGTGTTTCCCGAACGTCAGGTTGTAGAGCGTGAGGGTGTGCAGATTCCCCTCCAGGGTGAGGTTGGAGTGAGGGACCGTCTTGTTCACGAAGAGCCACAAGGAATACTTGGTGATCCTGCCGTTGGTGTGCTCGCGAGGAGGAGGACGCCACGAGAGGACGACGCTGGAGGCGTTCAGGACGAGGCTCTCGACTCCCGACGGCGGCGCTGACGGGACTGTGAGAGGGAGGGTTGGGTTGGTTATTCGCCTAGAGGAAGTACATACTAAACGACTACTCGAACTCATAGAAGGAGAAGCTTGTTTATGAGGCAAACGCTTTCAATACTGTGAAATAACTCGAAATAGTCAAACTAGCAAGGCAAGATTATATAAAACATATACAAACACACACACACACACACACGTACTCAAAACAAAAAACAAACAAACAAACAAACAAGCACAACGTCCCATCTACCCACGAAAAGACAAAAACAACCCCCCAGCCACCCTCGCTGGCAACGAACTCACCATCTTCCAGCGTGACGGCGATCCTGGAGTTGGACGGGTGGCCGTGGATGTTGCGGTGGTAAGGCACGATGAAGAACTCGTACTCGGTGAACTTGGCGAGGTCGCTGACGGTGTAGGAGGCCTGGTGGGCGGCGCCGGATCGGGTCACGGCCTCCATCTCGAAGTGGTGCGTGCCGGAGTTCAGGTCGCGGTAACGGACGTAGAAGCCGTCCATGTAGTCTTCGAATTCTTGGACCTGTGGAGGAGGAGGGGGGGGGGGGGGGAGGAGGGGGGGGGGGAGGAGGAGGGGAGGAGGAGGAGGAGGAGGAGGAGGGAGGAGGAGGAGGAGGAGGAGGAGGAGGAGGAGGAGGAGGAGGAGGAGGAGGAGGAGGAGGAGGAGGAGGAGGAGGAGGAGGAGGAGGAGGAGGAGGAGGAGGAGGAGGAGGAGGAGGAGGAGAGAGGAGGAGGAGGAGGAGGAAATGTAATAGGGAGTGGGGGTGCAATAGGGACGGAGGGGAAGGATAGGGAGGGAGGGGTGTGGGGGAGTAACAGGGAAGGAGGGGAAGGTAATGGAACGGATGGGGTGTGTGGAGGAGAGGGGAGGGGAGGGAAGAATGGACAGAGAAGGATATAGACGGAGGATGGGGGGGAGGAGGAAGAAAAAAAGAAATTAGTCACTGGTGATTACACTTTAGTAAGTGACGCATTCAATATACAAGTTTCATTAAAAAAAAAGTGAATTGCTAATTTAAAAGACAAAAAAACAACAACAACACACAAGCAAAGAAGAGACATAGGCAGAAGAAGAAAAAATAGAACATTAAAACACGAATATAAACCAACTAACCAACCAACAAAAGAGCGGAAAAAAAAGAATTAAAGAAATTGAAAAAAACAGCATAGATAGAGAAGGAGTTACATAAATAGCTAGCTAGGTAGAGCGAAAAAAAGACAAAAGAGAATGGACTAAAGGTTGCAGGCAGGACTGAGCAACACAACGCAACAGTAAAAAGCCAAGATTCAATGTTGCAAAGACGCTGATACTAAACTACAGTGCAAAGTCAATCTAAATGCAAGGGAGTAGGAATCTATAAGACGTTTTGTGGTGAATTAAACAAAAGAAGCTAAACATAGGCTAAAAAAAAGTTTATCAGACGATTATAACGAACATAAAGTCAGAATGATGACAACAACAACAAAACAACAACAACAACACACAAATAATAAAAATGATAAAAATAATTACACAATAAATAAAAAAACAACGAAAAATACAGCAAAGAATAAAGGAAATAGAATAGAAGAGAGCCACACGCGGGGACTGCAAATCCCGCCTGAGGAAGACGGATTTCGTTCGAACCAAAAACTAAGCTGAAGCCATTGCCATTGTGATAAAAGGAAAAATATTTATTGAAACCAGTAAATGCATTCTAAATATAGTTGGAAAGGTAGGGATATGAAAATACATTGAGGCTCTTGATGGAGTGTGAATATATAAAGGGAAGGTAAGATAAAGAAGAGAAAATAAGTAGAGAAGAGAGGAGAGGAGAAAAAAAAGAGAAGCAGAGAAGAGAAGAGAAGAGAAGAAAAGAGAAAAGAAGAGAAGTAGAAAAAAGAAGAGAAAAGGATAAAATAGAAGAGAAGAGAAGAGAAAAGAAGATAAGGAACAGACGAGAAAAGAAAAGAAACAGAAAGAAAATAAGAGAAGAATCAAGGAAATAAACAAGGAACGAATATGGAAGCAAAAAATACAGAGAAAAAACAATTAAAGCGAATAAACACATCCAAATAAGAACCTGAAACCTTTCCCCACAGTTCTCTCCCACCCCCCCCCCCCCCCCCTTACCTTCCACTGCAGTCTGATCGCCGTGGACGAGATGGGCGTGGGCGGCATGAGTGTGACGAGTGGGTGGGCGAGGACAGCCCTTATCTCGGGGTCGTTGTTCGTCTCCTTGGCCCCTTCACCGCCCGGCATCCCTCCCCCGGCGGTCACCAGGGGGCCGGACACGGGGGACGACGCGGAGACACCGTGCATGTTCATGGCCCTGGGGAGGAAGGGGGGGGTGAGAAAGTGGGTTAAGAGAGAGAGGGAGAGAGATTGGTGGGAGGGGGGTGGGGGGGGTTTGGAGAGAGAGAGAGAAGGAGGGAGTGGGTGAAGAGAGAGAGGGAGAGAGATTGGTGGGAGGGGGGTGGGAGGGGGGGGTTAGAGAGAGAGAGAGAAGGAGGGAGTGGGTGAAGAGAGAGAGGGAGAGAGATTGGTGGGAGGGGGGTGGGAGGGGGGGGTTTAGAGAGAGAAGGAGAGAGTGGGTGAAGAGAGAGAGGGAGAGAGATTGGTGGGAGGGGGGGTGGGAAGGTGGGATGGTGGGAGATAGAGAAGGAGAGAGTGGGTGAAGAGAGAGAGGAGAGAGTGGGTGAGAAAATGGGTTAAGTGACAGAGGGAGAGATTGGTGGGAGGGTGGGTTTGGAGAGAGAGAAGGGGAGAGTGGGTGAAGAGAGAGAGAAGAGAGAATGGGTTAAGAGAGAGAGGGAGAGAGTGGGTGAGAAAGTGAGTTAAGAGAGAGAGGGAGAGCGAGTGGGTGGGAAGGTGGGTAGGTGGGCAGTGTGGATAAGGATGGGGAGATAAAGATAGGTATGTGTGGGAATTAAGAGGGAGATGGGTGGGCAGGGAGGGTAGGAAGAGGAAGAGGAAGAGGAAGGAGGAAGAAGAGGAGGAGGAAGAGGAGGAGGAGGAGGAAGAAGAGAGGAGGAGGAAGAGGAGGAGGAGGAGGAGGAGGAGGAGGAGGAGGAGGAGGAGGTGGAAGTGGTGGAGGAGGAGGAGGAGGAGGAGGAGGAGGAGGAGGAGGAGGAGGAGGAGGAGGAAGAAGAGGATTTCAGTACCAGCTATTGTATCGTCTGACTTTTCCTCTCCTTTGCCTCCGTTGAGGGAGATCAAATGAAGGAAATTGTATAGGTAAATTGATACTCAATTTAATATCTGACCTACACCGTTACCCTCTCTAATTACAGTTGTTAATGAGCATAATCAAACATTGAAATAGAAATACAAAGAATAATTTTCATTTATCAAAAACAGCGCCTGTATCTTAATTTTCTCCAAAGCTATTCTTTCCCTCATCACATCTTATCTAACAAGGAAACTTTCTTTTGTGAAAACACGTGTGGAAGAAATTTACGAATTAATGAAACTATCTAAACAGTTAACATGAAATGACTCATTTTCACCCACACTATCTTTTCATATTCTTAAGCATTCGTTGCATTACACTCCGTTAACTTTATTGTTTCTTTTTATTTACATATTCACTTGACCACGTACCTCACAACGGCTCTGTACTGCGTGTTGGGTTTGAGGCCAGTAAGGGTGTAGGACTCGGCTGGGATGTGCTCCTCTAAGGGGGTCCATTGGCCCGATCCGTTCCAAATCTGCGAGAGGAAAAGTATAAATAATGTGAGATAAAATTTGGGAGGGTGGGTGGAAGAGAGTAACAACGAATAAAAGGGTGTTGATTTAGCATATTTTGTAAAAGGTATTCATTCCCTAGAGTTTTCTAATAATAAAAAAAAGTTAAAGGGCTATTTGAATTGTACGTCACTTGAGTCATACATATAATAATTAAAGAAAAAGCATGATAAACGCTAAAAATACATAATTCACAAACCAGGAGGAGAAGAAGACCAGCCTTACTCAAATAAATAAAATAAAGAGAATTAAAAATCTAATAGCAATGTAAATACTAATAGTAATGACAATAATAAAATACAACAATCCTAATGGCAAAAGGAGAAAGAAATCAGTGCAAGGAGAGAAAGGGAAAATGTCTCACCTCGAGAATGTAACTCGTAATGGGCGACGCCCCCTCCTGCTCCGGCGGCCCCCACGCCAAGGTCAACGTGGTGGAGTTACGGGCGCGCTGAGTGGGCGGCAAGGGAGGCCCAGGGAGATCACGAGGGTCAGGCGCGGGCGTGGTGCGGGCGGCGGCGGGGCTGTTGGCAGGGACGACCTTCAGGTGGGCGGCGATGGAGGACTTGCCGGCGTCGGAGGTGGCCGTGCAGGCGTAGGTGCCGCCGTCGTCTTCGCGGACGTCTGTGGGGGGAGGAGGGAGGTCAGAGCCATGCGGAGAGGAGGAAGGAGTGAGAGGGAGAAAGGGAGGGAGGGAAGGAGGAAGAATGAGAGGAGAAGAGAGGAAGGAATAATATGGAAAGAAGGGATAATGATGAGGAAAGAAGAAGGGAGATGAGTGGAAGCAGAAGGAAGGGGCAGATAATTAGAAGAAAGAGTTGCAATAACCATAAAAAGGGAGGAGAGGACCATGTGAAGAAACGGTAGGGGGGAAATATATGAAAAGTTGGACGAAGAAATAACGGTAAAATGGAAAGAAACTTGATAATAGGAGGAAGAAGGGATATCAAGAAGAAAAGGAAGCAGAAAGAATGAAAAAAAGAACGAAAGAAGCAGAAAACATAAAAAGTGAGATTTTGTTACGAGGAGAGTGGCTTATCGAACGCAAATATCCTAATATATATTTTTTTCTCTCGTTTTTTTTCGCCTGCTGAAAATACAGCAAATGAAAATGACAAGAATGACGAACTGCAGCAAAAAATCTCAACCAATGCAATGCAAATCTGTTTCATAATGAGCACTATTAAAAACCAATGAACGCTAAAATCATCACGTAATTCCGTAACTGCTTTATGTCTTTTTCTGTACTACTTCAGATAGATAGATAGATAGACAGACAGACAAACAGACATAGATAATTAGATATATAGACAAACACTCATAGATAATTAGATATATAGACAGACAGACATAGATAATTAGATATATAGACAGACAGATATAGACAGACAGAAAGACAGACATACATATAGATAGATAGACAGATTGATGTTTTAATAGATATACAGACATAGACAGAGATAGACATAGCTAGATATATAGACAGAGAGACAGACACAGACAGACAGATAAACAGACAGACATACATATAAAGATAGATAGATATATAGAATAGACAGACAGATGTTTTAATAGACAAAGAAAAACAAACAGACAGACAAACATATAAAGATAGATAGATATATAGAATAGACAGACAGATGTTTTAATAGACAAAGAAAAACAAACAGACAGACAAACATATAAAGATAGATAGATATATAGAATAGACAGACAGATGTTTTAATAGACAAAGAAAAAACAAACAGACAGACAGACATATAAATAGACAGACAAGGAAAGGTCAGAGCAAACAGCCTCAGTAATTCACATTCCGAAACCATCTGAATTTATTCCATAAATACGAAAGACGGAGGACTTGGTCAAGGTTGAGTCTGTCGGTTAGTTTTCTTTTCTGTTTCTTTTTTTTCTCTTTTTTTATCTTACTTCGTTACATTTTTTATCGTCTATGCATACATATTTTATTTTCTATCTATCGATCTACATGTCTGTTGGTCTGTTCACGTGTTTATTTCTTTGTTTGTTTGTCTGGTTATGTCTCTGTATCTATCAGTTTATCAATATTCATTATGACTGTAACTGCCTCTATACCTGTCAATTTATCTTTCAATTTATCTACTCATTTACGTTTGTCTATCTAACAATCTATGTCTGCCTGTCTGTCTATTTATTTATTTATGTATATATTTGACAGTCTATATGTCAGCATGTCTATCCATCTATAACATCTATCTATATATTTATCTGTCTATCTCCGTCTCCACAGAGAGAGAGAGAGAGAGAGAGAGAGAGAGAGAGAGAGAGAGAGAGAGAGAGAGAGAGAGAGAGAGAGAGAGAGAGAGAGAGAGAGAGAGAGAGAGAGAGAGAGAGAAAGAGAGAGACAGAGAGAGAGAGATGCCTGATGAAAGCAAATTCACAGCATCACCAAAAACGAACGGAAGGACAGAGAGAAAGCACACACACACACACACACACACACACACACACACACACACACACACACACACACACACACACACACACACACTGCACTCCTAGCAAAACATCTTCCCCCCCCCCCCCCCCAACAATCTCGGAAGGCGTTAGGACATGTGTGTTGACGTACAGCTTCCTCTGCATCACTGTCCGAATCCTCATCTCACGGAATGGACTTCGTTTATCTCGACCGTCTAGTAATTAGTTTTCGATACGCGTCTTTCGTCTTGTAGACAAAGAAACCCTCTCTTTTTATATTTTTTTCCATTTAACATTTGAACTGAGACTTTTTTCTACTCAAAATTAATATAAAGTTTCTCTTTCTGTATAGTTTTTGAACGGACTGTTCAGCGTCGGCTACATCACGGAGTATATTGGTTTAAAAAAAAAGACGAAAAGATATCTTCCTTCTGTGCCTGAAAACAGAAATGCTTTATATCCAAGACTGTCCGGAAAAACAGAAGGATTATAACAATTCGATGATAACTTAATATTCCTCTTTTTTATCTTCTCTAATACCACGATAAAGTAGTATTATAGTATAGTATAGTATTGTGTTTAGCATGGTTTCTGTTTCTCGCTGTCGCTGTCTGTCTGTCTATCTGTTAATATCTGTCTGTCCGTTTGCCTGCCTGTTAATGTCTGTCTGTCTGTCTCTCTGTATGTCTGCAAGCCTGCTAATGTCTGTCTGTCTATTTGTCTGTTAATGTCTGTCTGTCTGCCTGGTAATGTCTATCTGTCTGTCTGTCTATCTGTCTGTCTGAGAGTTTGTCCCTTCCTCCTTTCCTTTCTTCCTTCCTCCCTTCCTCCCTCTCTCCCTTCCTCCCTTCTTCCCTCCCTCCCTTCTTCCCTCCCTCTCCTCTTCCTCCATTCCTCTTCTCCCGAAAAACAACAACAACACCAGCAACACAATGATAAAGTGTCAAAAAATATAAAAACGGTAAACAGCCTCTTCCTTTTTTTCCCCTAAGAGCCCAAAGAGACGGCCGGACCAGAGAGGTAATCAGCAGAAAAGTCAGACGTCGGCATCTACCGTGACCCCGAACGATGAAAGGGTCACTCGCTCAGAATCAAATATTCATTGGCTTGTAATCTATGCGGCGAAAGAAGGGAAAGGAGAGAGGAATAAGGGAAGAGGAAGGAGGATAAGAGGGAAGAGGATAAGAGGGAAGAGGGAAGAGGGAAGAGGGAGGAGGGAGGAGGAAGAGGGAGGTGGGAAGAGGGAGGAAGAGGGAGGTGGGAAGAGGGGCGAGGAAGGAAGGAGAGAGAGAGTGAGTGTGTGAGAGAGAGAGAGAAAGAGAAAGAGAAATAGAGAGAGAGAGAGAGAGAGAGAGAGAGAGAGAGAGAGAGAGAGAGAGAGAGAGAGAGAGAGAGAGAGAGAGAGAGAGAGAGAGAGAGAGAGAGAGGCAAACAGATAGCTGGATATACAAATAGATAGATAGAACTATAAAGAGACAGATAGAACGTCAGATAGATAAATAAACAGATAGACAAATAGATAGATGGATAGATAGACAATGATTTACATCTATTTCGGTAAACATACATATTTGCATTTACAGATAGATTCACAGATGAATATACGAGCACAGAGAGAGAAATAGGTAGATATATTGACAGAATGACAAATAAATATGAATACTGCTACAACTGCAGTGAAGTAAACTTTTGTCTCATAACCGTTCCAAACAGCTACAAAAAATAACGGCAACCGGTCACGGTAATAGTGGCTCGCGAACAGTTGTGAAACGCGAAACTGAAAACTAAAAAATCAAATAAAATAATATAAAACTACACACATTCTCTTTTACACACACAAACACAAAACCGTTGTTTCTCTCTCGTTCTTTTTCCTTTCTCACTCTCTTACTCTTTCTCCTTCTCTCTCTCTCTCTCTCTCTCTCTCTCTCTCTCTCTCTCTCTCTCTCTCTCTCTCTCTCTCTCTCTCTCTCTCTCATTCCTCTGCCATCCACCTCTTCCTCATCCTCTCTCTCTTTCTCCCTCTCTTTTTCTCTCTCTCCCTCCCCCTTTTTCTCCCGCTCTCACTCTTGCTCTCTTCCCCCCCCCCCCCTCTCTCTCTCTCTCTCTCTCTCTCTCTCTCTCTCTCTCTCTCTCTCTCTCTCTCTCTCTCTCTCTCTGTCACAGCTTTTACACCAGTATCATCGCGTGCGATTTTTCCCAATGGAACAATAGCACTTCAGATGGATCCTCTCTATCTGCACATTGGACACGATCTCTTTTATATCAATAATTCAATTAAGGCACAATTGCACTGTCATTGCAGGTATCAAATGCAAACTTTCGAAAATGACTATTGCATTAGATGAAATAGGATGGATAGCTTATGGTGATTATTTTAATCAGCCATTCATAAATTGTGAAAGAGAGGGTAGGACAAATAAGGATAGATATAAGGCGACACGATCGTAACTAAACACGATGGATTAGATATATGAAGTCACGAGTCAGCAACTAATTTGATGAATGAAGTCATGAGCCAGTAATGAATATGATAAATGAAGTAGTGAATCGAAGATAAATTAAATCTTGAGTTAGCCATGAACTAGATTAATGAAATCAAGAACCATTTGATCTTGAATCGTCAATGAATTTGACAAAATTTTGAATCCCCCATGAATTAAATTGACGAATTGAATCAGTCTACGTATGTCTGTCTTAATTGAGTTAACCCCTGGCCGCCCACCCCCCTAGCCCAGCCCCCACGACTCACCGCTGATCTGCAGCGTGCCGGAGCCGAGCAGCGTGATCCTGGCGTCGTCCTCGGGGAGGAGGTGGCCGTCCTTGGTCCAAGTGACTCTCGGCGTGGGGTCGCCCTCGGCCTGGCACACCATCAGCGCCACGGCCTCGGGTGTCACCGTCAGGTTCCTCGGCCGTACGGAGATGACGGGCGGCGGGTGCAGCGTGGGCGCGGGCACGTCCAGGAACGCCCGCGCGACCAGCGAGCCCGCGGCGGACACGGCGGCGCATGAGTACCATCCCGCCAGCTCGCGGGTCACCTGAGGGAGAGAGAAGCGATTTGGTAATCAAGGCTGTGGGGGAGAAGAGGACTAAAGGAAAGGAATTTACTAAATGAAAGGAATTTACGGAAGAGTAAGAGGAAGAACACCAAGCACATCTGAACGAACGGGGAACGTATAGTCCTCCTAAAAAAAAATAATAATAATAACGGAGACACTATAAGACCCTTCGAAAACCGACCTGGTTGACGATGAGCGTGCCCTCCGCGTTCACCCACACGTTCGGCTGGTCATCGGGCTCTCCTGACGGCGTGTCCTGACGGGGCAGGAGGAGGTTATGGTCGTCCTGGCGGCTCCAGACGACCAGCGGAGACGGACGACCCACGGCCAGGCATTCGAAGGCGGCGGACGACCCCACTGAGGCCTTCACGTCTTGCGGTCGAACGAGGAACTCCGGCGCGGCTGAAGGAAAAGAAGGGAAAAGGAAAGGTTATTTCTATACTTTTGGTTGTGTTTTTGTTTTTTTCAGGTGAAGACTTGGTGTTTTTTTTTTAATACAACGAAAGGAAGGTTATTTTCAGTTCGGTTACGATTTTTCGAAACTCTAAGATGTTATCGTGTTCTTTTTTTTGGGGGGAGGGGGGGGGGTTCATGGCTTTAGTTGTATTTTCACATCTTTAAGTACGGTCTTTCTTCTTCTCCGGAAAAAAAAGTTATTTTCATTGTTGTGGGACCTACATTTCCCTTCTAAAAGTGATTTTGTTAGCATCTACCTCTTTGTTAATCACTTGTAAACAAAAACATTCCTCTTCTCTATCACTGTGTTTGCCTCCCCCCCCCTCCCCTCCGTCTTTTACGTTAGGGTTTAACATTTTTTTCCTGAGCTAATGTGACACGAACTTCCATTCCTTCCAGCGCCGAAGCCACCTGTATTTCCTCTCTCCTGTTCACTCGCCCCGCTGGTCTGTTACACACTGTAGCTGTCCATTTGTGCTGCGCCGTCTTATGTACACTTTCGTGGACTTTACATATATTCCTGGATCGTTTGCTCTCTTGTTCACTCCCTCTCAATTCCCCTTCCTCTTTCCTCCTCCTCCCATTTACTTCATCTTCTCATCTCTCTTCCTCTTTTACTCACCCTTTCCCCTTTCCCCGCCAACTCATTCCTTCCTCCCCCTTTTATTTCCCCTCTCCCTTTCCCTTCCTTCCCCTCCCACTCACCCATTCCCCCTCCTCCTCCAACCCCTCTCTTTCCATCCCCTTCCCCCTTCCACCCTTCCAATTTTCCCTTCCCCCCTTCCCCTTCTCCTTCCCCCCCTCTACCCCCTATCCCATCCACAAGCATATCCAAGACTTTCCTCCGCGAAGAACAAGTTAAAGTCGCCCGCCCACGGCTATTAAGGACAAATATGGCGACACAAACTAAGTACTTCTGGCAAATTTACCCGCGTCTTCTCCCTCGACTTTGTGGCACCATTACTGGTTTTGGAAGCGCGTCGGGGACTCGCTTTTAAGATGGGGGTTAGGAGGAAGGAGGGGGGGAAGGGGGGTGGAAGTGAGGTGGAGGGATTGGGTGGTGGGTGAAAAGGGGGGGGGGGCGTTGATGGGGATGGTGAAGAGGTGTTGGAGATTAGGTAGGGGGGGGGGGAGGAGGTTGGAGTTGGTGGCGATACTGATATTCATATTGATTTCTTTATTTTGCCAAATAAGATTATGCAAAGTACATGAGTTTGAGCTGTACACAAGTTGGCTGAGACTAGTGAGGTTTTCGTTAATGACTACAAAAGATATAGAAACAAAATGAACAAAAAAAAAAACAATTTTGGGGATGTAAAACTTGCAACAGACTGATACAGTACAAACGAAAAAATATCGAACTACAAAAAAGTACTGAAATTACAGATTATTAAAGAAAGAAAACATTTATCCAGCTCTTTAACACAGTGTGTACATAATCAACAAAAAGCAATCAAACACAAGCTACAAAACAAAAGAAAAAACAAAAGAAAGACAAACATGCTAGTCAGATTAATACCATTATGAGTAGTACAGTACATGTAATAGCTGTTTTCAAGCAATGGCATAATACACTATCTTTTATACTTAGTAGTTTGACAACATTTGTTCATGGAAAGCTTTTTGGTGGTGAGCTGTTGGAGATCAAGTACTGAGGGTGTGTGTGGGGGGGGGGGGGAGGTTGGAAGGGGATATCAGTCTCCTCTCGCTCGATCTGTGCCTTTACTAACAACATTTATAAGCGAAAACATATAGTTTATTCACGCCCCCCCTCTCTCTCTCTCCCACACCTTCCCTCCCTTTTGCCACACTCAAGTACCAGCGCCCACGCCTGTACAACTTCATCTTATCTCAAAGCCACACAAAATTTGTTTTTAACAGTTTTCTACTTTTAACTCATTTTACGACTATCCCGTGCAGACGCTCAAATAATGCAGTTATCTACAAACAAGTCAATTAACTCGCTAACTTTTTGCTAACTTGCTAACTCAAGCGAAACACGGAACGTTCCGCTTGAACACAAAGTACAGACGCGCGCTCACTCACGCTCCTCTCTGCTTGCCTTACGTCGGCTACGTGATAGGTATTTTATTTTATTTATTCATTTCATCGCTTCGTATGCTATTGCTTGTCCAGTTATTGGGTTCATTTTGATTAACAGTGTCTGATCTCT